CTGGGAAAGCAGCAGCGCTCAGCCCAGCTTTTTAAACTCTCAGTCACGGAAGGGAAAAGGCGGTTTTTAACTCCTTATAATCAGCAGATCTTGACACGCTCTGCAGCTGTCTTTTCCCTGGGTATACAGTTTCGTTTTCCGAAAAAAGCACTGCACATTTAATATCTCAACTGGAAGCGAGAAGTCCATGTTTCAGACAAAGGAAACTCAACTCCCCCTAACGATATTTCCCTGTGTTGCATCATGATGGAAGGAACAATTAACCCTACTTGCAATACCCACCCCGAGGCCCTTTCATTTCTTTCTCTTCTTTGGTTCCCAGGAGATGCAAAGCAGTTTTTTGAAAAGAAAAGCCATTACTTTTCAGTTCTCTCAAGCTTGAAATGGAAATCTTTCTCTGCCAAGACCTGACATCCCACCTCTGACACACATAGACAAGCTTATTATTTCAGTGTTACGCTGCATTTTTACGAACAGAACCAAAAAATGCTGCTGGGCCAGGAAGTGCTTAGCAGAACCGAGAGAGTGGTCTCACCAGCACCCTGCTTGCTTTGCAGAACCAAATTACTAATATCTTAGAATACAGGGATTGCCCAAACATACGTGGATATCCATCATTTTATTCTTACAATTGCCAGCTCTACGACAAACGTGATTCAAATAGTTTTCCAGTACTGGCTGAAAAACAAGCGGGAGAGTTGGCAGTTTTACTGCTTTCGAAAAAACAGTCTGCATCAGCACTAAGAACCTCTGACCCTAAAACCATCCCCCCCAAAAAGGGTTTTTCTACCTCTTCCCTCCTTTTTCTATTTTTTTTTTTTCTACCCAGTTCCCCTTCTCTTGTACATACTTACATGACCTCAAATGCTACCAGCAAAGCAGTAAGCCATCTGTTCCCTAAACTCTGCCTGTCTTGCCTCTAAACCTCGCAGGTCCTGCTGGCTCAGCAACGAAAGGACGAACTCAGCTTTGAACTCCAAGACACTGCCCAGCAGTGCAACCAGCTTGCTGTTTCTTCCCACTTTCCTTCCTCATCCCTTAACCAACCCCAACACCACTACCATTCTCCCCCGCCACTATCCACCTCGATCAATTTAATACCTCAACAGTTAAACTCCCATCAGCAGCAGCCTTCAACATGCTCTACAGCATGGCAACGCAGAGCGGCTGCAATCTTGTTTGGCGGATGGACAACCAGATGAGAAACAACCTGTTGCTTTGCCCAGTTCCCCAGAGCTCCTGCCTGCCCTGTGCCTGCGTGGTTACCACCTCATCCCAATTAGGCAGGATGGGTTTGGTTTGATTTCTATTCTCTTTCTGCTCCTGCCAAGCTGGAGAGCAAACTACGCCTGAGGACAGCTCTGGAAGCGCCTTCCTCCTGCAGGAGAGGTTTGCCTTCCTTCCAAAACAGAGGCTGGGTTGGGAAAGCCACACGAGCCACAACATTACAATCTTTCCAGCAACAGAAATCACAGCATCACAAAAGAAAAAGCTGTTGTGGGTCTTGTTTTATAATTAAAAGCACAGCCCGTGTTCAGCTGCAATGTTATTGCTGACACAGTCCTTCAGATTTCAGCCCAGCTTAAAAGATGATTTAAATGTTTTCCTCGGTGAGAGTACTTGGCACGATGCCATGCGAAAGGCATTGAACATAGCCCTTGCTGTTCTTTGTCTGCATTATATGTGGATTTGTCACCATGGGTCATACCTCCCAGTTGAGCTAGTCCGATATCGTTTTAACAGTGGCCAGAACAGCAGATTATAGAGAAAATGCAGGAGGAAAAACAAAAATAAGAAAACCAAAAAACCCTACCCCACAGCATACACATCACTCCAGTTGCATAAAGCTACACAGAGAGAGAAACCTTGCCGAATTTCAGAGGTGATCTTTAAACCCCAAAGCAGGATATTTCACCATTTTTCTAACTTCAGATCACATACTTGGAAACACGAAGAATCCCAGAAACACTCGGACAAGACTAAGCACAGCAGGTGCCTTTACAATCTGTTTTGACAGAGGTAGATAAGATCTGACTTAGGCCAAAAAGCAAACTACCATATTCCAAGTGCAACACAGGAGAAAGCTCTTTTTCTCATGAGCACACAGATTTTTGCTGTGTGTATGTCAGAGCTTGCTTTGCACATTGTTCAGAGACAGCTTGCTCGCAGTACTGGGTATTATCTCATCCACTAAACAAATTCAGCATGGTTTACAGCAAGTCCCAGATGAAGGCCAAAAACAAAATAGCCCAGATATACAAATAGCAATGTTTTAAATAACTCAAGAAAACGCCAGCTTCTTGCACAGAAATCTAAATTGAAGAGAGCCAAGATAAATTACGACATTGTGAGCATCCTTGTATTTTAGGAGAATATCTACATGAAATTGCTCCCTCCTTACTATCGTTCTGCGTCCAGCACTTGCTAAGGTGGAAACAGGTAAGCGGTGTTCAAGCTGACAGCAAAAGGCTCCTGTACCAACCCCAGCAAACAAGAAGAGGTGAAATAGGTGAATTTCTCCAGAAGCTCTGGCAATGCTTACTGCTATAAGCATTGGTTTGACATTTAAATGTAGACTGAACCAAAAATATGATTAAACGAAAAGACTAAGGAACCATCATAACCAGAAAGATAAGCCTCCTCAACCCAAAACCACACAGCAAACTGCACCCTGCGTCTGACCAACGCCTGCTTTGCCCCACACGCGACTCCAACGAGAGCCTGACCAGCTCCCCACCACTGATTTCACGCGGGTGTAATCAGGAAGGCGGCAGGTTGAAGGCCTCAATATTGTCCCAAGCTTGCTAGCACTGAAAGAATCCAGCATTGAACCCTTAAACCTCTAAAGCGATCCACAGTTTAACCTGGCGCTACACTCCAGCTCGTGCCACCACCTTTTATCTGCACCCGTTTCACCTGCAAAGCCTCTGGAGTAGCCGCACCACAGCCCAAGCATGGTTCAGGACCGCCAGAAAACTAAACAGAGCAACCAAACGTGGATGGCAAAGGGAAAGCAGCACCTCAGCTTCAGAAACCCACAGCCCTAACAGCATGTGCTTGGGGCGGGTAACTAGTTTCCATCTTGGGGAGAAAACACACCTTTGGTGCTCCCCACCTCATTCGCAAATGCCCCGTGGTTCCTATCGCCTCCTCAGACCCCCTGTCCCAGCTTTGCCGCCAACCCCCCAGCCCTGCCTCCAGCCTCAGCAGGACTGGCAGTCTCTCCACCACCCACCCAGCCCCTTCCCAA